AACATATAAAGCTAGTTGGGAGGTTTAAAGACCAAAGTAGTAAAATCATCTAAACCACCATAAGTAGTTAAGGGATATTTTTTAAAAGTTGTAAAATATGAAACATTAAATGTGGGGTGGGAGGTGCAGGACTGTTAGAATGCATTTGAACTTAAGAAATGAACAACCCCAAATAATCACATATACATATAGAGATTTCTATACATAAACCTCATAGTAACCACAAACCAAAAACCTATAATAGATACACACTCAATAAAAGAGAAAGGAATCCAAAGATAACACTAATGATAGTTATCAGATCACAAAGGAAGAGAAAAAAAGAAGAAGAAAGGAGCAAAAAACAACCACAAAATGATCAGAAAACAATTAACAAAATGGCACTAAGTAGATAAATATTAATAATTACTTTGAAAGTTAATGGACTGAATGCTCCAGTCAAAAATCCACTCCACATAGAGTCACTGAATGGATAAAAAAACAAGACCAATATATATGCTGTCTACAAAAGACTCACTTCAGAAATAAAGACACCTGCAAACTGAAAGTGAGGTGTTGGGAAAAGTTATTCCATGCAAATGAAAATGAAAAGAAAGATGAGGTATCAATATTTATATGAGACAAAATAGACTTTAAAACAAAGACTGTAATAAGAGACAAAAAGGACATTACATAATGATAAAAGGATCAATCCACAAAGATATAACAATTGTAAATATATATGTACTCAACATAGGAACAACTAAATACATAGAGCCAATATTAACAGACATAAAGAAAGAAATTGACAGTAACACAATAATAGTAGGAGACTTTAACATCCCATTTAAATCAATGAATAGATCATCCAGACAGAAAATCAAAGAGTGGCCTTAAATGATGCATTATACCAAATGGACTTACTAGTCATATATAGAACATTCTATCCAAAAGCTGATGAATATACATTCTTTTCAAGTGTACATTGAACTATATTCAGGATAGATCCCGTGCTAGACCACAAAGCAAGTTTCTGTAAATTTAAGAAAACTGAAATCATTTTAAGCATCATTTCCGACCACAACACTTTGAGACTAGAAATTAATTACAAGAAAAAAACTGCAAAAACACAAACTCATGGAAGCTAAACAGTATGCTACTAAACAAAATTTAAAAATCAAAGAGGAAAAAATCAAAATTGAAATAAAAAAATATCAGAAGATTAATGGAAATGAAAAGAGAAGGATGCAAAATTTTATGGGAAGCAGAAAAGGCAGTGCTAAGAGGGGACTTTAGAGTGATATAAGCTTACCCCTGGAAACAAGAAAAATCTCAAATAAACAATCTAACCTGATACCTAAAGGAACCAGAAAAAGAAGAACAAACAAAACACAGAGTCATCAGAAGGAAAAAAATTATAAAGATCAGAGAGGATATAAATTAAATGGAGACTAAAAATAAATAAATAAATAAAAAGGTCAATGAAACCAAAACCTTGTTCTTTGAAAAGATAAAGGATCATAAAAGATTACTAAGAAAAACTATATGCCAATAAAATGGACAACCAAGAAGAAATGGACAAATTCGTAGAAATGTACACTTTCCCGAGATTGTACCAAGAAGAAATAGAAAATATAAATAGATCAAATACCAGTAATGAAATTGAATCCGTTAAAACAAACAAACAAACTACCAACAAACAAAAGTCCTGGACCAAACAGCTTCACAGGTGAATTCTAGCAAACATTTAGAGAAGAGTTAACATTTATCCTTCTCAAACTACTCCAAAAAATTGCAGAGGAAATAATGCTTTCAAACTCCTTCTACAAGACCAGCATCACCCTGAAACCAAAACCAAAGGTATCACACTAAAAAGAAAATTACAGGCCAATAGAACTGATTAACATAGATACAAAAATATCAACATAATATTTATAAACCCAGTTCAACAATACAGTAAAAGGATGATACAACATGATCAAATGGGATTTATCCCAAGGATGTAAGGATGGTTCAATATTCGCAAATCCATCGATGTGATACACCACATAAACAAAGTGAAGAATAAAAATTGTGATCATATCAATAGATGCAGAGAAAGCTTTTTATAAAATTCAACACCATTTTTGATCAAAACTCTCAACAAACTGGGAATAGAGGGAACATACATCAACATGATAAAGACCCTATATACCCCACAGCTAACATCACATTCAATGGTGAAAAGTTGAAAGCATTCACTCTAAGATCTGAAATAAGACAAGGATGCCTACTCTCACCACTTTTATTTAACATAGGATTAGAAGTCATAGTCACAACAATCAGACAAGAAAAAAGTTAGTAATTCAAATTGGAAAGAAATAAATAGAACTGTCACTGTTTGTCCATGACATGATAAAATACATAGAAAATCCTAATAACACCACCAAAAAACTACAAAGAATTCTGTAAAGTTCCAAGATACAAAATTAACATACAAAAATCTGTTATATTTCTATACACTAACAGTGAATGATTATAAAGAGAAATTAAGAAAACAATCCCATTTACAATTGCATCAAAAAGAATAAAATACCAAGGAATAAATCTAACTAATGATGTAAAAAACCTGTACTCAGAAAACTATAAGACATTGATGAAAAAGTTGAAGATGACACAAATAGGGACTTCCCTGGTGGCACAGTGGGTAAGATGCCACACTCCCAATGCAGGGGGCCCAGGTTCAATCCCTGGTCAGGTAACTAGGTCCCACATGCATGCCACAACTAAGAGTTCTCATGCCACAACCAAGGAGCCCATGAACTGCAACTAAGCATCCCGCCTACCACAACTAAGACCCAGTGCAACCAAATAAATAATAAATAAATAAAATATTTTTTAAAAAGATGACACAAACAGATAAAAAGATATATCATGTTCATAGATTGGAATAATTAATGTTGTTAAAATGACATACTATCCAAGGCAACCTACAGATTCATTGCAATCTGTATCAAAATCCCAATGGCATGCATTTTTCACAGAACTAGAGCAAATGATCCTAAAATTTATATGGAACCACAAAAGACCTCTAATAGCCAAAGCAATCTTGAGAAAAAAGAACAAAGCTGGAGGTATCACACTCCCAATTTCAAACTATACTACGAAGCTACAGTAATCAAAACAGTATGTTACTGGCACAAAAACAGACACATAGATTAATGGAACAGAATAGAGAACCCAGAAATGAACCCACACTTATATGGCCAATTAACCTACAACAAAGGAAGCAAGAATATACAATGGGGAAAAGACAACCTCTTCAATAAATGTGGTTGGGAAAACTGGACACCTACAAGCAAAATAATCAAACTGGACTACTCTCTCACACTATGCACAAAAATTAACTCAAAATAAATTAAAGACTTAAATGTAAGACCTGAAACCATAAAACTCTAGGAACAGGCATTATGTTCTTTGGTTCTGTTTTTTTTTTAATTAAAAAAAATTCAGGTAGTATGCTCTTTGACATTGGCCTTAGTAATACTTTTATTGGATATGTTTCCTCAGACAAGGGAAACAAAAGCAAAAACAAACAAATGGGATTCATCAAACTAAAAGTTTTGTACAGCGAAGGAATCTGTGAACAAAACAAAAAGGTCACCTACTGAATGGGAGAAGATATTGCAAACAGTATATCTGATAATGGTTTAATATCCAAAAAAATATTAAAAACTCCTAGAACTCAACATCAAAAAACATACAACCCAACTAAAAAATGGGAGAGGATCTGAACAGACGTTATTCCAAAGAAGACATACATTTGGTCAAAAGGCACATGAAAAGATGCTCAACATCATTAATCATAAGGGAAATGCAAATCAAAACCACAATGAAATATCACCTCACACCTGTCAGAATGGTTATTATCAAAAAGACAACAAATAACCAGTGCTGGTGAGGATGTAGAGAAAAGGGATCCCTGGTGCACTATTTGTGGGAATGTAAATAAGTGCAGCCACTATGGAATACATTAGGGAGGGTCCTCAAAAAATTACAAATAGAAATACAATACTATCCAGCACTTCTACTCCTGGGTATTTATTCAAAGAAAATGAAAACACTAATTAGAAAAGATATATTCACCTATGTTTATTGCAGCATTATTTATAATAGCCAAGATATGGAAGCAACCTAAATGCACATCAGTAGAAGAATGAATAAAGAAAATGTGGTCTATGTATACAATGGAATATTACTCAGCCATATAAATAGTGAAATCTTGCCATTTGCGACAACATGGATGGACCTAGAGGGTATTATGCTCAGTAAAATAAGTCAGACAAGGAAAGACAAATACTGTATGATTTCAATTATATATGGAATCTAAAAAACAAAACAATAAATAAACATAACAAAACAGAAGTAGGAACATAGAGAGAACAAATAGATGGTTGCCAGAGGGAGGTGGGTGGGGAAAGGAAAGAAATAGTTGAAAGAAAATAGAAGTACAAACTTCCAGTTGCAAAACAAATGAGTCACAGGTATGAAATACACAGTGTGGGGAATATAGTCAATAATTATGTAATATCTTTGTATGGTGACAGATCTTAACTAGACTTATTATGGTGATTATTTTGAAATATATAGCAATATTGAATCAATATATTATGTAACTATAAGATAAATAAGTACAATGTGATAAATGTAATTAATACTGCTGTATGTTATACATGGAAGTTGTTAAGAGGGTAAATCCTAAGTGTTCTCAGTACAAGAAAAAATACTTTTTTTTCTATTTCTTTAATTTTGTATCTATATGAGATGATGGGTGTTCATTAAACTTAAATTCCATGATGTATGTATGTCAAATCATTATGCTGTACACCTTAAGCTTATATAGTGTTGTATGTCAATTATCTCAATAAAACTGGAAGAAAAATTCAATTGACAAGAAAAGATGACTTTAATAAATAAAACACCAATTGCCTTTTCTTTGCTACTGTCTCCCTTTCTTTATTCCCAAGTTTCAGTATACTTACCTGAATCACACCTCCCAAGAAGGAAACAGCTGCAGCAACACCAATCCTTTGCATCTCAAAGTCAGATAAGCCCAGCACACTTGTGTTACTCTGTGTGGTAAGGTTCTGACTGTTCAGAGGGACAAGCCGTTCCACTGCATTAGCTGATATTAAGGATGTCAAGGCAAAGGTGCCTAAAGCGGGTGGGGGGGGGATCTTCTGTTAGTAACAGACTCAATAAACATTATTGGATTCCATCATTAAAGTTGAATCCATGTTGTAAAACCAAAACAGATTAGAAGCACTCTCCTCTGCACCCCCACTATTCCACCCTTCACTCCATGGAATAAACAGAAACTCACCTTTTTATACACAAATTTCTTCCACATACATCTACTTGCTATTCCCTCCTAGGCCATACATTTTCCTACCTCTCTGCAGACCTACACAGAGAATGTCCTCAAAACAGGGATTAAGATCATGGTGTGGATTTGAATCCAGCTCCTCCATTTATCACTATCACGATTTAGAGCACATTACTTTGAGTCTAAATCGCCTCATCCATAAAATGCAGGTAATAATGCCTATGTTTTAGAGTTTGAGGAGAATATAAATGAGATGATAAATATGAAGACCTCAATAGGCTCAGTGGAAAATATGACTCTTTGCTGAATCTGGGGCTCATTGACTGAAATTCTTGCTCCTCCAATCTACTTATAAAAACATCCTTGTCTTTCCTGGTCTGGCTCAAATTCCATATTCAACATAGATCATCCCAGATTCCCCAGTCAGTCCAGGTTAAATATTTCTATTCCCTGTGCTCTCATAACAGAGTACACCTTTATTATAGTATAACAACAACATGCTGTGGCCCATAAAATGATGAAACATACCATTTCTGTCTACTGTAACTAGATAAGTTTCAAAGGTATATCCCAGGAATTGTCCTGGCCTCACACAAATGCAGGACCATTTTCAGTGTGCTCCCCTCTTCCTGCCAAGAGTTCTGATGCTCTTATCTTGGCACAGCATGTCTGAGAATGTAGCCACACCAGCAGGGAAATGTCATTTCCCAAAGAGAGGGTTCAGCAATTTTGGATTAAAGAAACAAATTGCAGCATGGTAAAAACATTCCCCCAACCCTTTACCTAAAGACCTTACTTTGCCCCAGGTCATAAATGACACGGTGTGAAAAAGGGCCTGTCACAAGATATAGACATCTCAACAAATGGTATGCAGCCTCATAGGGCAAGAGAGCTAAGTCAGGCAGAAACAAAGTCTCAGTGGAAAGCTGACGCAGAAAATCCTTTGGTTTTAGAGGATAAGTGAGGCAGTATGTGCTGTGATTCAGAATAGTATGGTGATTGTAGCCTCCAATAAACCTCACCTTAAATCTCAGTACCACCATCTCAATATCTTTATCTAAAGACAGAAAGCATTCCTCACCCAATGGGGTTGTGATGAGACTTAAATGAAATAATGTACTATACCACATATCCCAATATATTGCATGTAGCTGACACCTAAAAAAGGTAATTCTTAATAAGATTAAAACCGGAATGCTCTGTTATAGTCTGTTATTCAATGTTCACTGTTCCGTTGAATTGATGGTATATAAATACATAGAGCAAATTGCATAAAGTTCTCTTAGGGAGCTAAGTCATTCTCAATAAATCATCAATAAATATCAACTGTCATGATCACTGTTCTCATCATAAAGTACTAAATTAAGAACACATCAAGGACCAAATATATATAATGATTAGAGACAAGATTCTGACATCAAGGATTGGCAATGCCAAATAAGGAATATTTGCCATAGGATCTGCCCTTGCCTTATTTTTTCAAGGTATGCTACAACAGAATTTCTCAAAGTCTTATATTCCTGAAAGTGAAGAAGTGTGTATTTTGGCCTTTAAATCTAGAACATAGAGCAAAATGATTTGTACAAAAGCCACTGAACAAATGACTAGAGAACTGAGAACAAAAATGATCTAGAGTTAATTTTTGTGTAGGCCTAGCTTTCCTAAGATTTGAAAGAAGATAAGAAGGAATTGAATGGTAAGAGAGAACAGCCAACAAAAATGTTTTGTTGAGAAAAGAAAAGTGAGTCTCATCTGTGTGTGAGTCACATCCCAAGAACTTCTTTAGAGAGAGACATTGCCAGAAATGGCTATGGGGTTACTTACTGTGTCAACATGGTTATGGGAGTATTGCCTCTTTTCAAAGGATGACACTTTGCTGTTTCTGAGATAGTTGAGAACAATCAAGGATGTTGAGGCTGCTGGTGACTATATGATGATGTTGTGAATGACATTTTACCTTCTCTATCTTATTGGTCTTGCTTGTCTTTATCTCCTCCCTACTACTCCTCTGCTCTTTCCTTCAATTTCTCAATGTTTCATTCTGGTTAGGCTTTAAACCTACTAGTGGTACCCTTAAATACCACTAAACCCATCTAGTAGCTTAAGAGTGGGTGGCAAGACCTAATAGGAAGTGAATTGAGGCCTCAGAATTGGACAGGGCTAAGTTCAAATTCCTGGTCAAGGTACCTAACCTCTCTCAGCTTGCTTATTTGTAAGATGATGATAAAATATCTAGCTACAAAATCTGGGTAGAGATTAAGTGATATTTCATATATAAAAACATCTGTCACAATTCCTACCACATTTGGTAAATAATTGTTTGCTTATTTTCTTTTCTTCTACAGAGAATTCTATTGTCTCCCTAATCTTTTCTCTAAATTAATGAACATATTTTTCTCTTTAAAATTTTTTTCTCTAATTTAGAAGATAATTATATCCTACAAATTGTCACATATGGGTTATCTTCAACAATTTTGTTTCCACTGGACTGATACCCAAGTTTCTGTTCTTTTCCTTTTTAGTCTAAGATATGTTCTTTGCAAGTCACAAGAAGCAATCAATGATTTATTCCTTTTTAAAATATATATGTATTTTAAATTAAAATAAGAAAATTGTGCTGTTAAAAATATAGCACATTTGGTGTCTTTATATTCTAGCTTTTGAATTATTTGCTTTTAAAGATACCTCAAGCATTATTTATTATTGCATTTAGTAATTCATTATTGCATTCTGATTACCTGAGTTGGAGGGAAAATCCCAGATAATGTGATTTTTCTTTATGAAAGCAACATCAATCTCTTAATAGTAAAATAGAAGTAGGCATTCCCACACACATATATACACCAAAATAAAGTACAATAATATTATTTAAAAGAAAAATATGTTTCTATACTAAATGTTTGCAGAAAATTTAGGTTGATTCCTATAATTAAGATCATAGGAAGTTCAAAAATAATTAGTTTGTATATTTCTCCTGATATATATATTATATTTAATATTATTAAATTTGCTAAATACAGAACCTTATACAAGTGGTAATGTGTATATATATAAATATAATACCATGAGGAAAAAGGATCATTTCTTCTTTACTGATTCTAAAGAATTCTAAATCTGTTGGGATAAAAAGAGAAATGAGGAGATCCAGCTGGCTCTGTCTTTTGGAGAAGTGCTTATGCAGAAATAAAATGCCTTAAGCATTTATTGTGCTATACAGTATCTATAGTAAAGCCTGTAAATTATATGTATTTTGAAATGTATATTATTTACCTAGTAGACTACGAGATTCCTATAGCTGTTAATAATATTTGTTAAATCCAAAGTTTTACATAAACGGCAATTTCAAAACCACGTCACCAGTAAAATGTTTATGATTCCTTAGGAAATAAAGTGGTTTATGTAAATACATACTTAGGTATATCAAGTTAAGTATTTTTGACTTCTTAAAGTAATTATGGTCTATTGGGAATTTTTTTTTTTTACCTTTTCTTTTATCCTTTGTTTAACAGAGGAGATGTTTTGAGTTCAGCTCTAAAAATAATCTGCTTTTTCTTTCTAATGACATATTTAAATGTTTTGAAGAATGAAAATAAATTTCCTAGGAAATTAGGGAGCAGGAAATTTTGAATATAATAGGCTTCAAGAACTTCTGATTCATTATTGTGCTTTTCTCCCTTTACATCAACACAAAAGGAAACTGCATTCTTGAGCAGCTGATTGTAAAGAGGAAAAGCTTGGGCTTCAGGTTTGACCACACCTGGCTTGTAATCCATGCATCTACAACTTAATCTGTGCTCTCACAGAAAACTTTATGAAATTAAGAGGTATTTTTAACCTAAATATGCAAATAATGATGTCTATTTAAAATAATTGTATTAAGATAAAATAGCACATGTAAAGCTCTTAATAAATCATCTAATAAATAGTACACCTAAGGTTCTCAAATTTAAGTACATATCTACACATACATGTGTAGATAGATGCATTATTTTAAAAAACTGGAGATTGTGTGAAAATGCTGATTCTGATTGAATAGATCTGAAGTGGGATTTTGCATTTCTAGCAAGATTCCACATAAAACTGATCCTGCTGGTTCGTGGACCATACGTTAGGTAGCAGTGTTGTAAATGTCTGATAATTGTTGATCCTAACCTCCATGACAAAGTTGATTATATAAGAAGCCAAATTTACATAAATAAGACATTATTTTATAGGTTAATTTCTGCATGAGAAAATGCATGTATCAATGTGGTAGGCAGAATTATGGCCTTCCAAATGCATCCACATCCTGTAAATACCTTATGTTACATGTCAAAGGGTAATTAATGCTGCAGATGGAATTAAGGTTGCTAATAAACTGACCTTCAGATAAGGAGATTATCCTGGATTGTCTAGGTGTACCCAGTGTAATCACAAGGGTCCTTTAAACATGGAGGATGGAAGCAAAAGATCATAATCAGAAAGAGATTTCCCTGCTGACTCTGAAAATGAAGCATTTGAGCCAAGAATTCAGGAAGCTTTTAGAAGGTGGAAAAGTTAAGAAAACCAAATTGTTCTCTAGAACCTCCAGAAAGAAATGCAGCTCTACTGACATCTCAGTTTTAGCCCTGTGGGCCTCATTTCAAACTTCTGATCTCTAAAACTATGGGATAATAAATTTTTCTTGTAGGAAATAAAGTTTTCTTCAATAACACAAACTGACCACTGAAGAAATAGACACAAAATGGTATTACTTGCTTACAGACTGATATCTTGCATAAACAAAATGGATAAAAATGCGTCTATGGATATTTCCTCTTGAGTACTTTTATTATTATTACCATAATATTTAAGATTAAGGTATCATTTTTGTAATGATAGCAGCTTTTATTAATTTTTATGTAGCAAGTAATAAATTAGACACTTGTACATTAATTATGTTATCAATATAATCATGATTTTTTTTGACATTTTACTATCAAGAAAGCAGCAAATAGACCTTTAAAACTTTGCCCAAGCTCATGCAGATAGCAAACACTAAATGTGACACACACCCAGGTCTATCTAACTTCCAAGCCTTTGTTTTTAACCAGGCTGCTCTATTATCAGATTACTTGTTCACATTTTATTTGGTAATGAAATGCTAGGCAATGTAAGAGATATACTAATTAGAGGGCATTGTAGAACCTAGCTTGGAAGAAACTTAAAACATTGTTTAATCTAAATATTAATTACATGGAAAATAATTTTCAATATTTGAGTAACTAAATTTTATAGTCTTTTCCTCAGAGTGCTTATTTTCATTTCATTGTAAATTCAGAACATTTATCCTTCTCTTACAGTCTTTTTACAACTTAAAAATGAACAGAATCTTTAACAATAACCTTGGTTACATAGTAATATAGCAATAAATCACAGTATGTGTTGAGGCACAGAAAGTTAAATGTCTTGCCCTAATATTTGCTGATATTATTTGCTGATAATATTTGCCCTAATATTTTCAGTAGTAAAGTAAGAATTACATTGGAAATGTAATCAGTAACAAATGATCACTTCTGAGTCCCCTTCATTAGTAATATGAGAAGCATAAGCATAAACAGAAATTATTACCTGTGGCAACATGACGTCCCATTCCAAATATGGCATAAATGATGGCAGGAAACAGAGACCCATACAAACCAAACACGGGGTGCACAGATGAGAGAACAGCAAAGGCCAACCCTATGAAGAAGAACCAGAGTAAATAGGACCATCTTATAACCCCAAGATACAGTCCATTACAAAGTAGAATGGATATTGGTTTATTTAATATGAAAGGAATTATGATTTAATTATTCTACTTGCTCAGTGAAAGACTAGCATCATTGTCCTAAATAACAGAAAATTCACTTATTAGCTCATATTTACATTTCAATTCTAAAACCATTCTTTTTGGCCTACTACTTTTTACTTGATTACAGAGATGGCTACAAGAAGACATTAGCTCAGAGTGTCTTCCTGGTAAAAGTGAGAATCATTTTCACATGTTCATTCTATTCACACAATAGCATCTGTGAGATAGGCAGAACTAGTAGCAATACCACTGACAAATAAGAAGCCTGACATGAAATGTAATTAAGGCTGGGGCAAAAAGGATTCACACATTCAAAGGTGCCTGGTTGGCTGGCTAGCTGGCTGGCCTAAGATTGTGTATCCCAGTATTGGGCCAGTGTGTGAATTCGTGAATGTCTCATAACTGGACCCCAGCCTGTATTCAGGTACAATTTCTTAGAGTGAAAAAAACTCAACTTTGCTTATTCAAAGAATAAGTAAGGTGTACCTTAAAACTGTTAATTTTTGTTCTCCTTAGATACTACTACCTGCACAGTTTGTTTGTCACAGGCACATAGAAAATTTTCCTAGACATGTCTAAATTACCACTAGCCATTTAAACGTGACCAAAGTGTGCATGAGTATAAATTGATTAAAGTGATCTTGTATGCCGCTGATCCTTGGCATTAAACAGGTAGTTCTGAGGCAGGAGATAGATGGACTCCAGGATAGAGATTTACAACTTGCCTGCCTGTTTACATTCCCTGGGGAGAGGAAAAGATGGGCTTCAGGCTGGACACTTACAACTAGCCTCCTGTTTATATTTCCTGAGACAGGACATAAGTGGGCTCCAGGTTAGATATTTACAACCAGCCTCCTGTTCACACTTTGAAATAGAAATAACAACAGAACTGGTTAAATAGCTAGGTTTTGTCTCCTGAGGACACTGTAAGATAACAGTCATGGCAGGAACAGAGAGGGGCTAAACCCTGTCCGAGTAAAGATCAAGAGGTCATGCATTTCCCATCCTTGGGGCAAGGGAGACACTGCACATGCGCAGAAAGGCTCAAAAAGGAGGGGGCACCACCCCATAATATGTGACTCTAAGGCCACTCTTGGGCTGAAATCCATTTTGGAAAAAAGTTGGGCATGCATATTGGGAAGCATCCTATGGCAGGTCAGGTGTGGAAGAAGAAAACAGATAATTGACCAAAGGTAAACAAAGACCCTGAAGAACTGCCCTATATAAGTGACTTAACCACCTCTTTACCGCTTTCCTCATTAGGGAGGATGCCCACACCCTTTCTCTCTGGATGTACGTCTCTGCCTTGCTTCTATCTTAACTAAACAATTTCTTTGTGTTCTATCTCACTTGTTGTGCTATGTCTCTAATAATAAACTTTGTACCTGTTTTTACAGTTTTTGCCTCCATGAGAAATACATTTTTAACTGGGGGCGAGAACCAAGGAAAAATAACTTCTAGCCTCTAGCCCTTGGTGGTCTGGTGGCTAAAGTTCCTGGTTTTCATCCAGGCTACCCAGGTTCAATTCCTGGGCAGGGAATTAAGCCACTGCTCACTGCTGCCTCTCCAAGATCAGTTCAGCTAGGTTCTGATAATCCATTCAAGTTTACATGGTTTAATGATAGCCATTTGATTGAGCATAATGGACTTGACAAGCTACAAAAAGATTTGAGGAAGGAGCTGGCATTAGAACCTAGATTACCTGAACATTAGGCCAGTTAATTATTCACACTATGGAGCCTGGCAATCTGGTTCCCATATCAGTACTTTTTACTGTTTAACTCTTACTATTTTAAAGTTAAGTTTAATCTCTTTAAAATAAATAAACTCTAGTTTTACATCAAATATTTTGTTTCAAGAAGTACAAGATATTTATTTCAGTTACAGTTAAAATGCATGAAAGATCTACCAATAACCAGTTCCTTCTTCAGTGTTAAAAACCTGCTTGGGTTGCTTGTTTGCTGACAATGTATTCCTAAAAGTTTGGTGAAGACAAATAAAAAGTTGTTATAGAAGAGTTACTGACAGAGGCTGCTCTAGAATTTCACACAGGCAGGATGTGAGGCAGCAATCTTGCTGTTGAGAAAGGTCTCCAAGCCAGGTTAGCATTGTAAAGTTAAACTTTCCCCCACCCCAATAACAAACACCTCCTGGCATTTATTATAGTGTAAGCAACTGTGTAAGAATATTGTGTGCATTAAATCAGTCATATGGAAAGCTAAAAAGCAACTTTTTCTCATCCATTTTCAGAATGAGTTACTTGATAAAAATTACCTATCAAGAGACAGAAATACAGAGTGCTTCCAAGTAAGAAAAAATGTTGCCCACATTTCAGATCACCCAGATCTACTAAATCAGTGATGGGGGGAAAGGGAAATATGTATGTGGCATATTTAACAAAAGCACCTTGGCTGAATTGCATGGACACTAAATTCTGAAAGATGTGGTAAATACCAACAGAATCAAGTTTGCCAGAAGTACCCTACTTGGCTACATTTCTACTCCACCTGCAACAGCAAACGTAAATACAAAACTAGAAGCAGTCAGAATGGCCATCATCAAAAAATCTAGAAACAATAAATGCTGGAGAGGGTCTGGAGAAAAGGGAACACTCTTGCACTGCTGGTGGGAATGTGAATTTGTACAGCCACTATGGAGAGCAGTATGGAAGTTCCTTAAAAAACTACAAGTAGAACTAACATATGACCCAGCAATCCCACTATTGGGCATACACCCTAAGAAAACCATAATTCAAAAAGAGTCATGTACCAAAATGTTCATTGCAGCTCTATTTACAATAGCCCGGAGATGGAAACAACCTAAGTGTCCATCATCGGATGAATGGATAAAGAAGATGTGACACATATATACAATGGAATATTACTCAGCCATAAAAATAAATGAAATTGAGCTATTTGTAATGAGGTGGATGGACCTAGAGTCTGTCATACAGAGTGAAGTAAGTCAGAAAGAGAAATGCTAACACATATGTATGCTAACACATATATATAGACACAGACCTACTAGAGAATGGACGTGAGGATATGGGGAAGGGGAAGGGGAAGCTGTGACAAAGCGAGAGAGTGGCATGGACATATATACACTACCAAACGTAAAATAGATAGCTAGTGGGAAGCAGCCACATAGCACAGGGAAATCAGCTTGGTGGTTTGTGACAACCTAGAGGGGTGGGATAGGGAGGGTGGGAGGGAGGAAGACTCAAGAGGGAAGAGATATGGGAACATATGTATATGCATTCACTTTGTTATAAAGCAGAAACTAACACACCATTGTAAAGCAATTATACTCCAATAAAGATGTAAAAAAAAAAAAAAAAACTAGAAGCAGCTGGATTCTCTCCTCTTGCCTTGTGAATAGGTACTTTTTGTCTGCTTTATTACAAAACTCATCTCTCTCTCTCTGTTCATCCCAAGTGAGATCTATAAAAAATTAGTTCAAAAACAGAATTTCTTTGGATCTCATATTCCTATCAAATTAAAATAGGAATAATCATGGAAAACATTTCTAACTGCAATCTTTAAAAGATCTCTAGACCTATAAACGCAAAATATCACCTCAGTAGATTTTACAAGAATGATCTCAAAGACCAGAAATCATGTAGACACTTCCTTAATCTCAAATGACACTGATACTGAGCTTTCACATTAAGCAAATGTACACTCTCAATGAGAATCTACTTCTCTGCTAATATGACAATGAACAATGGCCAAAATGAAGGAATGAACTAATTCAGAAATACAATGCTTTAAATTTCAAGTAGCCCTTCCATAGATAAAAACTAAAAAACCCAAACCACCCTCCCATACCCACCTCCAAAAAGGAGAGGAAACAGCATAAAGTTTTCTTTCTCTGATTCATTTATTATTCTGGTTCATACTGTAACCAACATACATATTTTCATACAAACTAAAATATGTTAAATCCTCCAAAAATAATGAAAATACTAACTAGTTAGAGTCACTTACAAATTAGTAGAATTATCTACACTTTTCTCCATGTTTAATAAAACAGGGTGTTCAATTCAATCAGAGCAGAATTAGAACTCTCTATTACTTTGGGGGAAAATTGCTGCAAATACTGATAGATATTGGTATTATTTAATCTCACTTAGATAAGAGCAAAAGCAGCACAACAAACAAAAGTATAGAAGAATAAAAACAAAATGGGGGGCTTCCCTGGTGGTGCAGTGGTTGGGAATCTGCCTGCCGATGCAGGGGACACAGGTTCGAGCCCTGGTCTGGGAAGATCCCATATGCCGCGGAGCAATTAAGCCCGTGAGCCACGGCTACTGAGCCTGCGTGTCTGGAGCCTGTGCTCTGCAACGGGAGAGGCCGCAACGGTAAGGGGCCCGCGCACAGTGATGAAGAGTGGTCCCCACTCGCCACAACTGGAGAGGGCCCTCACACAGAAACGAAGACCCAACACAGCCAAAAATAAATAAATAAATTTATTAAAAATAAAAAAATTGGGTATTAGGGCAAAGGGTGTCAAAAGGGGACAGAGGAGGAATGAGAGGAGAAACGGAGAGAGACAGAGATTGATTGATTGATTGGAGGAGAAAACCCATAATGAGATCTTTAGATAGCTGATTTTTTAAAAAAATCAAAAATCATGTATTGGTAATGCAAGTCTGATATATCCATTAAAGAATGATCACTAGAAGACTTTGAAAGATGCAATTTTTAAGAAAACATGTTTTATAGGTGTGATAACGGTTATTAAAGTAGAAGAAACTCCATATTCCCATGTCAATATTATCAGCAGTTTCAGGGCTTATGAACACTCCCCACCTTTTGAGGGACCCTGAGTGTGAAGTTGGACATTTACCACTGGCAACACTTGCTCCTCCAACCCAGGCTACTGTGAA